ATGGGTCTAGACCTTACCAGACCTTAAAAGCCATAACTTCACTGGACTCTTGAGAGTGAAGTTTTCTAGTGGACTCAAACCCAGTAAGAAGAAGATATGGAGATTTTAGCAACTCCTTTACCACCATGAGGAGGAGCTGAGCTGGGACAGGGACCAGGTCCTGGTGATGTCCCTTGCATCCCTAAATCTGGTTGTGTCTGAAACCACCTAACTCTCAAGATTTTACTTATAAAATCCAATAAGAATATTCTCTTTTTTAACTTAAGCCTCTCTGTGAAGTGCCTTTAGTTATTTGCAAAGCACCTAATAAAACAGTTCCCATGCTTGACTGACTCATTACTTCAACAGAGTTGTTTTACTAAGTGACCCTTAAATAAATTAAAATCCTGGCCAGAATAAAGGTCTTAGGGTGACAAAGGGTTGGTAGTGGGGCAAGGAAGATTAGTATCACTTCAAAATGAAGCATCTGGGGGTTAATACCTGCTTATTATTAAAAATTTAAAACACATTTTCAGTTCATGGCAGGTATGCTTCTGAAAATATTAATATTATATAAAACCGAGGCTATGGTTTGAGGGATTTTTCCTTCCCATTCTTCACATACTTCTGATGACAAAGGACAACATAAGTCAGCAACAGCCTTTAGACTCCCTCTAAAATAAGTGCCTCCTTCTAATTGATTTGGTGGGTGAGAAGAGTGTCATCCAAAAATATTAAAGATTACCTTCCATCAGTGGTATAGGGAATGTCTTAGGCAAATTGAACTCTCTTGTTAGACCTATTTTTGGTACAGCAACTTCCTATTTACAGAGCACTTTACATCCATTATACTTATTTCATCCTCACAGCAAGAGCCATGGCCCTCATCCATGAAGCCATCCATCAGTTCACTGCATAGATATTTGCTGGGGGCCAACTAGGTAGTCGGCCTGAGGCCTGGGTAAGACACAGAGTTGTGTTGAGGTGCAAGAGACATGGATCCTCTCTTCCATTATTTAGAACACTGTGCTTCAAGGCAGTGGGCTAAGATCAATGGCTGTTAGATTCCAATCCCCAACTCCTACCTGATTTGAGAAGAAAATAAAGGTGTGCCCCATTACAATCCACCCAACAAATGTACCCACTCTCTCTTCCCTGATACACAAAAACACACTGTAGACAGAGGAGATCTTACCTTTAAACTGATACCACCTAATTTTCGGGACCCCTTACCTGCCCAAGCTCCTTCCAAAGCTCCCAGATAGGCCTTGGGAATGTGATAATGTGGTCACATGTTTTTGAAGATTTTAAAGGTTTTAACCACATTTGGTTGAGAACACTGTGTCATTCCATTTTAACTTCCCCTCCACCATAGTCCTTTTATGTAGGTTTGAACCGGAGTGGTCATGAGCATTTCTGAGATGACTTTGAGTGTGAATACATCTGTTTTGGCATTGGTGGGATGTGTTATGCTTGTATAGTGCTTCTGATTGTACCCCTGTGCTTGCCAGACTAAGGCTTGCAGGAGTAGTGTTCCTGCTCTCTATTCCAGTCTATCTATGCAAGCTATGAACTGCAGGGCCATAGTGTCCGTTGAGATCTGCATATGTCTGATGGCACAGGTGTATCTAGGTGCATTGTGGAGGATTAACAAGGTTTGATGTGTATAGAGCCAGGAGCACGCCTGTGGAAATTCTTCTAATTATCAGGCATGCAAAATTACTAATGTAGGATCAGTTCTTACTGATGCCGTCAAAATGGAAGTCCTCTCCTATCAGGAATATATATAATGTAAAACATAGTATGGTAAGTACAGTAGACTACTTCTTTTTCCTTTTCATGAAGAATAAGGAAATGATAGTATATGAGAATTCATATATTTGTAAGGCAAAAATCTGAAGGATTACATCACTCAGCAAATTCATCTGAGTGTAAATGGACATGTTTTATGCATGCTAGTGGAAGGACCTTTCTATTCCCACTATAGAAGGTGACATTATGAAAGTGTTGATCAAAGAGAATGCAGTCAAAAAATGGTAGGAAAAAAAGTACTATAAAATTGTGTCAGAATTTTAACTAATAAAATATTGATTGATTAATAAAAAAGGCTATTCTCCGAGACATTTAAGAAATTTATCAGCTTTTTCAATGTATTTTTTGGTGATTTCTTTTCTCCTTCTATGTAAATATTTATTTCTAATCCAAATTTTCTATGCATAAGGTATTCTTATAGGAAGCTTCCAAAACTATAAAAGCTTGTATAAAATCTGGAACCATACCCAACTACAGCCCCATTCCCCACACTGAATTCTAGTGTAAGTTTCCAGGGCTGTATTTGATGCTATGGTGATATAAAAGACAAAGGGAGGGATAAAAAAAGATGATGGCTCTTGTACTTGACAAAATTCTAATGTAATTGAGAAGATAAGACTTCCAGCAAAAAATCAAGGAAAGATAGAGTCAAGAAATGCCAGATAGAAAAATACAGCCAAATAGCACTAGAGGAGCTCAGATGACTACCCACTTACATGCCGTGTCTATGTCTCTGTCTATCTGTGTAACAGGTTTGAATACCTCAGCCCTAAACTGGGAGATCAATATGGGTGGTGGATGGTCCACATATTGGATGGTCAGTCCGTCCTTCATCCCTTCTATGGGAGCTGCTTGTCCTCTCACTCTGTGTGACACAGAGAAGGCAGGTGGCCCAACCCTCCTCCCTCCTATCCCCAGTCTTAAATGGTCCAGGAGTGGGAACTTGACCCAATCTGGGCCAATGAGCACCCTTCCAGAAATCTAGAATCAGGACTAAGAGATCCTAATCTCATTCTGATTGGTCTCCTGTGCAAAGAAAGTATAAATTCAGGAGCTGTAGGGGCCCATTTTCTTCCATGTGGGTTGGGGAGCAAAGCACGCAAGCAAACTGTTGGGCCAGCAAGAAGGAAGCAGAAGATGGGATGCGGAGATGCTTCTGTGAGCATCTCAGCCCTGGCTCATATTCTTCTTTTCTTAATCTATAATTCACATATCATAAAACATACCCTTTTAAAGCATACAGTTCAGGGGGTTTTAGTCTATTCAGAGTTGTTTAACAATCACCACTAATCTCTGACGATTTCCATCACTTCCAAAAGAAAATTTACACTCCTGAGCAGTCCTCCCCAGTCCCTTCCTCCCCCAGCCTTTGGGTCACTATGGATCTGCCTACTCGATATTTCATATACGTGGAATCACATAACGTGCAGCCTTTGGTAACTGGCTTCTTTCACTCAACATACTGTTTTCAGGGTCCACCCAGGTTGTAGCATGTATCATTCTTCATTCTTTGTACAGAGATAAAACCTGGTTTACTCAATCATTCCCCCAAATTTTGAGGCCTGGATACACCCTTCCCTTTGGCTCCTGGTGATAACTATGCATCCTTTCCATCCTATCTAAGTTCTCCTATATTTCCTTAGTTCCAACAGGAATCAACCTTGGTTTTTTGCTTTAGTCCTAACTAGTACAGGAGAAATTGCCTGGTAATGATTCCTGGATAAGGTAGAGCCTTGAACAGGAGTAGGAATGGGGGCAAAGATTTGATAGTAGGAAAGGAAGGAGTAGAATAGAGAGGGAAACCATCAGTAGGAACAGAACTAGCAAAGATGTGGGACATGTCCCCACACACAGGAGGAGAACAGCTTGTCTGGAATATGGGAAGTCTGGCAAGAGGGGGATAAATGTGGAGAGAGAGAATGGTGCTAGGTAAGGATTTACTAGACAAGCTGAGGTTTAAAAAATCACCATCTCTGTATTTCTGCCTAAAGGTGGCATTACAACATAAGTTGGCATTGGGAGTAACTGCCCCATTGGAAAGCAGGGCCATAAAACCTTGACCTAAGCCAGCCAATTGCTTCCCAAAGCCCCACATGGTGGAAAAATGAGGGACAGAGTGTACGTAGATCCCATCACTATTTAACCTACTCAAGTTCACTGCCCCTTGAGGTGGTCAGGAGACTCAGCCTCGCAATTTACCCACAGCTCATGTGATAAAGAAATCTGCATTAGTGGGGTTGAATCCTCTCTGCTAATTAGTAGCTGAGTGACTTCTAACAATTGCTTAACCTCTGGGCCTCACCGTGTGTTTTTTAAATTGTTTGTTTTGGCCAGAACATACCTCACTGGGTGGAGGCAGGGATCAAATGAGATGCTGAGTCTTCTGTGAAAGGACTTTGCAGAAACTGCTGTGTTATTCCCATGTACAATCTCATTCACTTATTGATCACAAATATTTGTTGAATACTTATGGGCAAAATATGGAATTATGATTCACTAACAGGAAGAAAAAAAAATAAAAATCTCTGCATTTTTTGACCAAATGGCAATTGTTCCTACAACTCTAGCTATGTAATGGTTATTTAGTAAAAGGGAACAATAATTTACAGAAAATGTATAGTAGGTCTTCCTTACCCCAGCCTTCCAACTTCAACAGCCAAGACACCTTGCAGATTCATGAATGTATCTATCTGCTTGCTTCTCAGGCTTGGTTGTGTGCACTATCTTGGTTTTCAGAAGGTGTTTGGGAAAGTAGACAGGTCTGACGTTTTACCCCAGCATAGTACTGTGATTTTACTCTTTGCTTTATGTTTAAATAAGAAGAGCAGGTCAGGAATAACCCAAAGTAATTGAGTGGATTTGCACCACGACATGCGGCGTTGCCCAGAGCTACACCTTACAATCACCCCATTCATATTTTAGGTTTTGACACCAGACTTTGCAGTATTTTACAATTCTCTGTTCCATGTCAGCAGCTCCCTGTACAGCTGAATATCAGTCCTATTTAAATCTGCAGGAAAATAGCTGCAGGTGACATAACCTTTCGTGTCGTACCACTGTGTACATACACAAATAATTGGAGCTCTTGACCCTGTCTGGGCCCATACAACTGTAAGTACAAACTTGACATTTTGATACTGCTGCTAGCCTTTCTCGTTGTTATTTTCTGTTTCAATAATCCATTGCAGGTAGAAAAATGAAAGAAGGAAGCATGAATGATTAATGCTGTCAAGCTAAAATAATGTATTTAGAAAAATCTATAAATCTGTTATTTGTGGCATTTTAAAACTGAACACGACACTCCTTGGTGCCACCGCCTGTTTCCCGGCAGATGAATGGGAGTCCTTTGCAGCATGGGGTGGCCAGGCAGCCTCTGGAGTCTGTGCTGAGCTGGGATGTGCTCATCCTGGGACAGGCACAGTGAGAACCCTGGGTTCTTCCTGTCACCAAGGTCAGAAGCAGACATCACAGGGGAGTCTCTGCAGTGGGCTGTCAGTTTTGCATTTCACCCCGGGGTGAGACTGGGTTTGCCTCTCAAGGTTCCTTGGCTCACCACTCCCAGTAGCTACAAGCCACAGGCCCCGGCAGCCAGCTGTCTCCAACCCAATCTCTTTTGGATTTTGTTCAAGCTCAGACTGAAAGTTGATCAAGTTCAGCTCCTAGGAGGCTCTGCACAGCTCCAGGCAGTCTGTGGAATGCTGATCCTAGCACACGGCTCCACTGACCCCACAGGTCTCAAGCTGGGCTCTCCCGGACTCTACGAGCTGACAATAATCCCAGGTCTCCTGTCCAAATGTCCCCAGTTCTTGGAGGCAAACACTACCCCTATCCATGGCATAAGTGTTCAAGCCCTGATCTCTCCACCCTGGCCAGAGGAGCCCTGGTTAAGAGAGGATAGGACCTACAGAAGACTTAAAATGACCTGCAAGCAAACCGCCAGTGATACTTTGGCAGCCCTGATGGATATCATCAATGTATTTGTTAGATTTGCATAGAGAGCAAGTCAAATTTCTGCAGACAATAAAATTAGCAATTGATGCCAATAGTAGGATTATTTGCAAATTTGTAACTATAAGCACCTGGTCAGAGTGGTCATACATGCCACCTTAAATGACACTGGGGATGTGTGGGTAGGCTACTAGGGGTGCTGCTACTCTGTCAGTGGGGTAGTGGTGGGGGGCATTGGGGGTAAGGATAGGGGATCAAGGAGAATAAGGGTTTCCTGGGAAAACATGGGCTCCTGGGACAGGAAAGGGATCTCTTGGGAGCATAAATGCCCAGCAGAGTGTGAGTGCTCAGGGAATGTGCCCCATATGCACATGCCACTCTTGGCAGGTGTGGGGCAGCTCACCTGCTCCAGTTGGCCGATTCTTGTACCAATTCCTATTCAATAGTTGAAAGTTGGATCTTAAAGCAGTCTAGTGAGGGGACTTCTGGCACCCCAGGGTGGTGGGGGTTGTTCACACTTTAGATTATAGGAAACACATGCAAGTAACCACCCTTGAGAGGACAGTGGCCACACACGATGTGAAGAAAGGGCCAGTGGATCCTGGAAGCCACTCTCAGATGCTGGTGGAAAACTGCCCTCAGGCAGGGGGGAGCACAGTCAGGAGGCACCAAGAACTGGAAAAATAAGCCTGGGCTCTTTTCTCCCATTTAACTGCAACTTAATTTTCATTTGTCTTGCACGTCTCTGCCACTCAGGACTCCGTGCGGTCACAGCCTCAGTGCCAGACACTGTGGCCGGCAAAGGCAGAGGGACGGGGCAGCAGGGAGCCTCCCACTCCTTTACTTGGATCGTCGGACAGATTTCAGCTGGAAGCCGGCCTTCTGGTTACCTGGGGGACAGAGCCTGGCCTGTTTCTGCCGAAAATCTGTTCTGGCAAAATTAACGGCAAGACCAGGTCTCTCTCAGCTCCATCGTATATCTGCATCTGGCCAACAGAGGAGAAATGGATTTTAATCCAGTTTGTGTTCCTATATTAGCAAAGCCCACAGACAACCGATCTGTTTGAAGATGTTTGCTTCACTCAGGTGCTGGGCCTCAATAATTTAAAATTAACTCAACGCTCTCAGCATAAAAAGTAATGGCTCTGTCAGAACCCGAGTGCAGAATGCCTAATTTAGGGTTTTACATGCTAATTCTGAATAAATGGAGGTGTCATGAGAAGGAAGGGTTCTCTTTTAAAGTGCATAAAGGCAGACCATGAATTAGTGGAGACCATTAAAGTTACATCTTCAGTGGCTCAGGCTTCATGAATGCCAGACCCAGCACAGTTCCAAAAGCCAGTACTGCTGGGGGTCCTCAGGGCAGAGACTTCAGAGTCTTTGCTGAAAAGAGCCGATGTTTTGTCCTGGAAACTTCTGAGTTGCAGTTCAGATTCCCTTCCTGATACGAGCTAGACACCCAGGAGCACTGGCCCAAGCCGCATACATTCTCATGACCAAGCTTCAGAGAGATCCAGAATCATGAGGCCAGGAGCACCGATGACAGGGGAGAGTTCGGCTCTTCCTTCCTTGCTGGGATCCTCTTTCCAGACAAGTTTGCAAGGGGAGCTGGATGAGGGCCCAGGGTGAGTCACTGACCCTCGTGTGTGACTGCTGAACACTGCAGCTGCCTCAAGTTGGCTTGGGGAGGCCACCTTGTGTGTCCCCATCTCACGAGATGCTCCTCCCTTATGTCCCTTTGGACCTAGGCCCACTGGGGCCCCTGAGTCTGAGACTGTCCCCAACATACTGGATCCCTGAAGCAGCTGAGGACAGAGGGTGATTTCTCAGCTGCCTGACAAACTGCACCATTTTGCCTGGGCTGTTGGAAACAAAGGCATTTGGAAATAAAGGTCTCTTACACTCTTCGGTTTCCCTGTGGGGATACAAGGCCCAGTGGCCTTGCTCTGAAGCCTGCCTAGTCTGTGCTCGGAGACCCTAATCCATGATTTTTCTCCTCTGACTTAAGGCCCAGGGGTGCAGGACAAGATTTTGGGGGTGGCAGTATCCAGCTTGGGCCTGACACCCAGCTTGGGCCCAGGCTCAGCCTCTTCTCTTCACAGCACCCACAGGGACACCAGTCATATAGCCCTGCCCTCGGACCCCTTTCCGCATCAAGTGCTCTGAGGAAACAAAGAGAAGGCGCCTGAGAGGTGAGGGACTCTGCTTCTTGGGGTTTCAATACTAGGCAAAGTGAAATACCTGAATTTATTTCCCCGCCTAGGAAATGTTGGAATAATGCCTACAAATTTTCTCTCTCATGGAGGTGGAAATTTGAAAATGCCTTTGGAGAACACCAGTCCATCTTTCTGGTGAACCTACCTGAAAGGACCTGCAGGGTGTGAATGTAAAACACTTAGTCTCCCAATGTCCTCAGGAAAAGCAGGATTCAGGGTTGTCCTTGAAGACGGGAGCTCAGGGCTTGGTCAGGAGAAGACTGGTCCATGAAGTAGGTCCAGCACCGGATCTTAGACAGTGGTGTTGCTCTGGGGAGAGAGTGCAGCTTATATATTTTTGGATTTAAATGGAAAGTACTTATAAATGACTGAGTGCTAAAGATGAGCAGTAACTGATAGGTCATAGATGAGCACCCTTCAACTACAGGAAGGAGAAAGTCAAAAAGGTTCCCCTCCTGCCCCTGGCCAGGCAGCGCAGGATGGACCTGCCCTTTGCCTCTGATGACTCAGTGTGGGGAAGTTCACCCAAACAACACATTCTCTTGAGTTGATTCTGCCACTCTCTTGACATTGATCTCCTGTAACCAAAATTCAAGGAGAGTATAAACAGGACAGTTACCCCTGAAAGAACTGAACTCACCATCAGTATCACAGACAGAGGGAGTCAAGTCAAGGAACAGAATCTAAAAAGACTTATCTTAGACTTCAGACAATTTTCTTCTCTGGCTTCTTTGCCAGCTGGATCTGGACTCTTCAGCAATGGAGGAATGAGTGTGGACTCACCATTGCTAGAGATGACCCAACCCGGGTATGTGGAGGCATGCTGGCAGGGAGTTGGCAGCCTGCGCCAGGCCCTAGGTACAAGTTGCAAGTCTGGACCTGAGTGTGTGGCAGCTACAGCAATTGCTAAGTCTTCATTTCTCAGTGCAACCCTAAGCCTTCAATAAAGTCTTGCCATATCTCCAGCCTAGTCTCCACTGTGTCAAAGGTTATTAATGAAAGAGCCCATTCCCCACTCCTACCTGGTGGCCAGCACAGCGTTAGGTGCGTAGCTCTAGAAGGTGGGTGGTCTCTGGGCTTCCAGTGGAGTCACTGGACAGAGTAGACATCATCTGTATGGAGTCAGACAACAATAGCAGTAAATGCTGGTGAGTGCAGCAACTCATGAGAGATGCTAGCACCCTGGTAACTCACTGATATAAGCAAGGGAGAGTGAATGTAAGGTGAGGGCTGGAATCCCAGCATGAGCTGATGTGGGTCTAGCAAGAGGGGCAATTAAAATGTGAATGTAGATATGGCCTCCATGCAATTTCCAGGCTGACCACCTGGGACATAAGACTTGCCCAAATTATGACCCCCAGACACCAATCACATAAGACCAAAACCCTTGTGCGACACTGATATAGGCTTTAACAGATTCAAGGTGCTTGGCCCGACTCCAAGTTAAAACAAGGACTCTCCAGGGCCACACCTTCTCCAGAGCCTCATGGAAACATTAATTGCACCATGCACTTCACTGCCCGCAGCACCCACCAGCCAGGCGACACATTCACCCACAGATCATCCCCACAAACACCCCTACCAGCCCAAGCCCTGAAACACCCCCATCAGATCCTTGCACACTTGCTGAACTCACCACTCTCTTTCCCCGAGGGGAGTCCCAACCGCTCTGTGGCCACACCCGCATCCATCCACTGGACGTGATTTTCTGGCTTGTACGAGAAAAATGAAGTTATGTATGTTACTTTTTGGGATCAATGCAGCAAGTTCCAAATGATGTATGCTGTAAAAAAATCTCTGCCCTGTGCCCAGAGAATTCAAACCATTATGTGCTGAGAGCGCTGCATTCGGCCGCCTATTTGTTGTTTGTTGACTGCTGTCAAATATAATAAAATGAAATAAATCTCTGGGAACAGAAAAATTAAGGCACCTAAATGTGCTATTGTTTTTGATTTTGTCCTGGACTCATAAAATGGTACTTTTCTTCTCTTCCCGAGTGGTCAGATAAATAAATTAACTATAAAGTCTGAAAGAAAAACACATCTATGGCAAAGTGCTCTGCAGGGGCAACGATTCTGTTCTCCCGCCCCTGCCTCCCTCACCGGCTGGCTTCCCATTTCTCTGCATGTCCCAGGGATTAGACCCCAGGAAGGGGGGTGGCGGGCTCCCCAGGACTTCCCTCACTCCTGGGTCCTCCTCTCCTGGTCTCAGTTACCTTTCCCACAAGGATGATATTGCTCTGCCCAGATCTCACAAATACTATTTCATCATTTTCTGTGTGTCACCAACTTGGGGGTGCTGGTAGAAGCTTTGTTTTGTCCCCTTTAAGTGTGAAACATCTGGAATTCCTCACCTTTCCAGGCAGGATGGAGGGGTTCATCCCTAACCCAAGTCCACAGTGGGGAAAGCCACAGCCCCTTTGCCAAGGATTGAAAGATCCTGCACTTAACCCACACTCCAGAGTCCCCGTGTGGCTTGTGTGATTGCCTGGCATTTAACTTGCTTGGCCTCCTCTTCCCTGTTCCACCTCCCCTACGCCTTCCTTGTTCCCCTGGAAGCACTGCCGCGCCAAATCCGCACACCCAGACCCTGGGCTCAGGATCTGCTTCTGAGACCCTCCCTAAGCAATCCTCCCAGCAGGCAGTGGGAGGGGAGGCCGGGAAGCAGATGTCTTCCCCTGCTCATTCGCCACACCTGCCCTGCTTCACCCAGAGTGGCTCTGCTGACATGCAGCGTACATTATGGAATTGCCTGTAAATTCTTTCTGAAGGTGATGCAAATAATTTTGCAAAACCACTGGCTAAGTGTAATCTACTCATTTTCAGAGGGGGAAACAGTCTTCACCCTAAGCATTGCTGTCAGGGAAGCCTATCGGGGGACCAAGGGTACCTTGCAGTAAAAGGGACACCCAGGTCTCTAAAGAGAGACATGAGAAATGTGAGGAGAGGGTGTGAAGCAAGCTCAGCATGGAGGCCTGTCTCTAGACCCAGGGGAGACAGAGGCAGGAGGCCCCTCTGAGCCCAGCCTTCTGACATGGCACTGCACGTCAGAGAGCAGTGGCCAAGCTTGTCTGAGAACAGGGGAGCAGAGACGTGGAGTCCTACCCAGAGACCTGGTCGAAGAAGGCTTCCCTTCTTCCTCTTTGCCCCTGGCAGTGGAGGCCAGCAGAGGCCAATGGTGCAGGAAGCAGGTGGAACCCGTGGCACATTCCAAACCCTTCATGACCTGCGGGAGCTAGAGTGGAACTGCAACTCCCGGGTCATTTAACAGAGTGGAAGAAGTCCAAGAGGGACATATTAGGCTTCCTGCTCATACCTTAACTCAAGAAATTCACTACAAGATAAAGAAGATACGACAAAAGTTTTTCCCCAAGCTGACACAACTGCTGGTACAATATTACATATTCCTGACTATATGCCAGACCCTGTTCTAAGCATTTTACAAATGCACTCACTTAATACTTATAGTACCATAAATACTAAATGTGGCTATGCTAAGTGAGGGGTGCTAGGAGACCCAGACCCCAAGGCCCGGACTGCTCAGTGGGCAGAGAGGGTCCAGTGGGGTTCTGGGAGATGAGCTGAGTTTACATAGTTCAGGGAAAGCAGAAGAGCGCTCTGGACATAGGGAGTGGCATGAGTAAGGGCAGGTGTCAGAGGCACACAACCACTGGAGGGAGGGCAGTGTAGAGATGGGGACTATCTCTGCCAGCTGAGATCATGGGGTATTTGAGTGCACAGTAAATGAGTGGGCTTTGTCCTGCTAGTGAAAGTACCACCGTGAAGGCAGTGTAGGCACGGAAACCTTTTATTGTTTGGTCTCTGCGGTTTATGTGATCTGATCATCAGCTTTATTCTAGGTCAAGGTCCGGTTTTCCCTACTACATATTGTGAAAGAGAAGGCTCTAGCTTATGACCCCACCCTACCTTCGTCACCCATCCCCTATCTGTTTCTCACTATCCCATGCTTTTCCCTACACTTACAGCAAGGAGAGGATGGAGATAGGAAGGCACTGCGTCAGATACACCAAAGCTGTCATGCAAAGATCTTGCCCCAGCACCCAGAGTTGAGGGTGTTTGCCGGTTTATTCTGTTTTGTTTTGAACACACATACACACACATGCACGACTGACCAAAACCAACATCCATTTTTAAGACAGGGCAGTCCAAACTGTAAGGAGGAAAATTTTACCCAACTCCTCCATAATTTGCACAGAAACTATTGCAATGAAATTAGAGCCTAACAATACCTTGGATATAGCACTGTGGGTCCCTTCTTTAATTTTTCTGCTCTCACTTTGGGTTCCCTCTGGTCTTCCTGCCAGTAATAAGAAAACACATTGCTGAGCTACATCTCTCACAGTAAGCATTGTTGACTGTCAAAAATCCAGCCTTTGCCAACACCCTTTCCCTTTCCATCTCTCACTGTGGACTTCCAGGCTCTTCTGCACATAGGGATGCCCAGGAGGCCCAGTTCTGATGAGTAAGAGATGAGGGAGATTTGATGATAGATTTCTGAGAAAGATGCTTTGCTTCCTGATAAAAAGGACAAGTACAAAAGGATAATGTGTCAGTGGGATGCTTTCCTTATTCTTCGTTCTTCAAATGCAGATTTGACTCCTGCAGCTGCAATGGCCATCTAGCCATCATGAGGCAAAAATACGTAGGAAAATCCTACAAGCTAAAGGTGAGACAATGGAAAAATGGAAAACCCCAAAACTTTAAGTATATTGCTGAGCTGACTGCAAACCTGGAGACTTCTTAAAATAAATGACCATGATGTTCAAACAGAGTTAATCTGGTTCTCTGTTACTTAGAGTGAAAAGCTTTCTCAACTGATAGACACTTCTTAATGGCCTCTCTCTTAGCTATGCAAAGGCCCAGCAGAAACTCTGAAATTACTGCCCATAAATACTCCTTTAAACTAGCCAAGGGCTATCCTTACCTCTCTCTGGAGTAAGGGAAGACAAAGGCAGTCCCCTTGTGTGCATATTCTGCCTCCTTAACTAGCCCTTTAACAGGAAGAATGCATTTTTATGTTCTTTTGTCTCCTCAATAATACCCAAACTATATCTATGCACAGAGAAGATGTTTAGAAAATTCCTTGTGAATTGTGCTGAGCCAAGTATTTGTTAGTTATTCTTCTAAGCAATTGTAGTTGGCTTCCATTTATTTATTTTTTTCTATGAACATGTCTCATTTTCCCATTATCTAAAACCCTCTTAGGGCAGAGTCTGTGTCTATTCATTTTATCTTCTCCGGAATGCCTTACACTACAAAGCACGGAGAATATACTAGCAAATGACTGCTGAATAAAGAGATATTGACCTGGGGGAGCATATTGGATACAATGGTTGACTTCCCAGTGCCAAGTCCACCTCCAGATAACAAGTGTAAGGCAATCCTGGTCATTTGATCCCGCTCACCAGTGACTTGTTCAGGAGGAAGCATCAGACCTCAGACTGTCTGGTGAGGCATGTTAAAAAATAAAATTCAGCCAAATAAATTGTAAAGATCTTACTGGATTTGTTCAACAATTCATGAGTCAAGCATCAGCCTAACATCTAGCAGATAGAAAGAAGCTCCAAAGGGCTGTATAAAATGAAAAACTTTTATAGGCAGAAGAGGGCAGGACAAGGAAGATATTAGCCAAGAGTAGATTAAGTCAGGCTAGGTCACCTTCCTTTGGGGCACTTTAGGGGGCTACCAGGCAGATTACTTCCCTAGGGCTGACCAGGTAATTCCAGATTGATTGGTTTAAGATCTCACTCCCTGGTGAGGTGGAAACTGTAATTAAGTTTGATAATGAATCTTGATTTGGCAATGTGGGCTTAGCATAAGTGACTCCTTTTTTTTACCTGTTGTCTGTTTTTTAAACAAGTTACCCCCTTTTGATCAGACTCTCAGTTTAACTGAGAGATATCAAAATTTAAGGCATTTCTGCCATACCCAGCTCGCACTCTGAAGTTCCTGGAGTTTTGGCTGCTCATCTGTGTGGTATTCACAGGTCATGATGTCTTTTGCTGATTCTCTGTAGTATTCACAGGTCACAACTTCAGGTTCACATTTAAGATGGCCAATCTCTTTATTCCTTTTCTGATGGTCTAGTCTTAGGAAGATCATGTGCTTGGTGATCAGTAGTTGTGAACATGCTTTTAAATCTTTTGATAGAATACATCACGTAAGAGAGACTACTATGAATATTATGAACAGGATAATTCCTTATGCCTGGAGCGCACTTCAGAGCCATGGTCCCCAAGACACAGACAAATCAAAATCAAATAAGTCAAAAAAAGATCCCATTGACAGGATCACTTTATTATGCCAAGGGACTTGCTCAGTGAATTTACACAGCTGAGTTTCAACTTTCCAAGAAGTGTTAATGCAGGTGCACCAGGTGGTGTTGGCCATAGCACAGTCATCTGGTTGCTCAACTAAAAGATAATCATGGGTTATCCTATCATGGAAAAAAAAACTTTGTCCAGAGATTCTAGGTATTTTTATGGGACAGCTATTTTTTTTTAGCAGCGGATTCTACAGTATCTTCAGCATTGGAGTTTAGATTCAAGAGTTAAGAAAAGGCTCCTGATCATATCTTTATTTGTACTTACTCCTAGTCAGGGGAGCAATGATCTACCAAAGGAAGCTTATTTTAAATCATGAATGTTTCTTGGTAATTCCCATTTAGTCTGTGGCTAAGGACTGGAAAAGTGACAGTC